TCGAGATTCCATACATACACCCCAATACATGAGGGTTAAACCAATCAACAACAATATGCATACATAAGCGATACATAAACATGGTGCCTCAGCATCCAACAGTACACCGGTCAACAACAAGATGATTAATATAATACATCACCGGCCAATAACACAAAAATCCCCTCCAGGGTAATACCAAAGGACTAACTAATAAGTCGCCCCTCGCGAGGCTCTCGAAGCCTGGCCTGCACGTTTCTGGTACCGATAACATCCCCGACTGGACGGGCACGACTGAGTCTGACTGGGTTTTGAAACACCCGAAGAATTCACACGCAAAGGGAAAAAACGTCTACCATGGCCCTGCTGGCCACAAATGAAACAACCACCAGACCCCCTACTCTGAGACTGGTCTGAAACCTGCACCTCCCCGGACCTTCCAACCGACATGTCCGAAACCCCTGACGAAGAAAAGGAACCAAGCCCCGACTGAGCATGTTTCCACCTCCACCCCTTACTGAGCCTAGAGTATTTAGGAACCGAAGGACTTACTGCAATGGTCTCCTCCTTAACCCCATCATCACTCGCAACCATGGCCTCTACATGGGCCGCTGCCTCAACTAAATAATAATAATCCTTCCAAAAGGATCCAGCTACCTTCTCCCGAATATCGAAACACAACCGCCTTTCAAACTCAAAACAACGATGCTCCTCTGTTGCCACCAACTCCGGAGCAAACCTCGACAAGCTAGCAAACCGCATCTCAAACTGTGCCACAGAAGTATAATCCTGACGCAACTCCAAAAACTGATCCCTCAACCTTTCCTGAGCAGAAGGAGGGAAATAGTTGGCCAAAAAGGCCTCGGTAAAAGCAACCCACGTGCTACCCACATTATTCTTAGCATACTTCCACCAATAACTCGCATCACTCTTCAACTGAAAGGTCGCCAAAGAAACCCTCAACTCCTCATCTTCGACTCTGAGCATATCAAGAGTCTTGGTAATCTGTTCCAACCAACTCTCTGCCTCCAACGGTTTAGCCTCCCCCACAAACTCTAGTGGACTGGAGCGAAAGAACTCCTTAGTAAGTTTGAGAGCATGCCCGCTGCTACCCTCAGTGCGAGCTAGGGCATCCTGCACTGCTCTCACAATCTCACGTGCGACATCCTCGCCGACAGCCGATGCTGCAACGGCAGGTACTAAAGGAACTGTTGTGCCTCTCCCGGCACTCCTACTACTCAACCGTCCTCTACTTCCTCGTGTAGACATCCTATAAAGCACAAAAGCAAACACCACGCTTAGTGCACAACACAATAGTCTTCTCCGAGGCACACTCCACTACTAGGTCACAAGACTCACTAGTCACAAAGTACACATCTCTATTGCATACAATCATTTAGACAGATAAACACATAATCGAATCAAGTCCACAAAGATAGCCACTCATCCCGGAACTCTCAAGGAATTCCCATCAGAAACCACGTTGATCAGGCGTGTTTCCAAAAGGACCTCAAAACAAGTTCACCAGCTATGAATATTATCCAGGAGACTGAATCCCATGCTCACATAAATGCAACACATAAGTCCTAACTTTCATTGTATCTATATGCAACGTCCTCACAATACGTAGTAAACCCACTGTGGTAAAAACCACTTCCCACGAGTCCAAAGTATTCAAACCTGGCTAGCTCTAATACCAAGTTGTCACGCCCCACTTTTTATTACTCGAAGTCATTACCAATTTCATTAACTTAATTCCATTTCAGATATAACATGCGGAGATAAACTTGTATATTCACTCATAGAAGTGAATAACATTACTCTCGTTCATAAGCAAGTAAATACAACTTGAGTATAACAATTAAATTGCCCTTAGGCTTACATCATTAATGAATCAAGAAGAAGGGTACAACCCTTTTACACATATGGCATTCTGCCAATACAAGAGGCCCCGTGGCCAACAAATCAGAAGACCCAATTCTTGCAGCACATTCAGCTCAACACCTGAAAAGATTTCAACAACGTGGGATGAACATATAATCCAGTAGGGATCTCAACATGGCCCTCAACAATAACAACATACAGATAGCTATGATCACGAATGCTCAATCTCATACTAGAATAGTAATGTGACGGTTTATACAAAATGTATATGTATGTACTTTCCTTGAAAACAACCATTTCAATCAACGCCATAGGCGATTCATCTTTCCTTTTCTATTCATTAATCCCCGTTCCCAATCTTTCATAACATTAATAATACCTTAGGAAATAATTTCACTAAGCCCACTACACTCTTTCAATTTCCAAACATACAAAGATATGCTTTTCAGAATATATATTTCTTTAAAAAGTCCATTCTCCTTCACACTTTCCAAAAGACAAATATGACGTTTTGGCTTTTTCCCGATACAATCAACTCTATACATGCACTGTTATAGAAAGAGATAATAACTCACCGACATGCATAAGATAAACCAATGAGGCAACTCGGCCCTCCAAAACCATAATCAACACAATCCATGATATTCTGAAACACACTGAAATATCAACAACAAAATTTTGCTCTACTAGCCATGTGCATAGTAAGCCAAAGATACACTTCTCACAACAACATACCAGTTTACCAGGCGCTAGCTGGAAGATAACGGTACCTCTGAGTATCAGCGCAGGGTATAGCACCACCAATCGAAATGCAACAGGGCATAACCAACATGTACAACATATATACATAAACTATCCAAATACAAACAATGTGTTAAAGTATATGAACACATAGGTGTGTGGAGTCCATCCCCTGTCTTCTCACACACACAGGAGTACAACCCATCTCTCCTCCCTAACAAGTATACATATATAATGCATCTCAATATTTCATCACATAAGATGTTCAATCAACAATGGTGTAATGCATACACGACAATTCAACACAACCACGTCATCCTCCACCGATGACCAAGGACAAAACCTCTAGATGTAAATATTTAGTACATCTATTAAAGACTCAATTACTATGAGACCTCAAACCCGACAACAACATTAACATGGTAGTTCAAGATACAATTCCACACATGTGTGTGTTCAACACTCATGAAACAACAATCTAGTTTTCATACGTATTTCAAAATACTTTTCCCATTTCACAAAACAAGTTCCACTTCCCCTTTTTGTTTTAACAAAACCAACTCCGTCTCTTTTGCTGTCACAAAACCAAATCCATCCCTTTTGTCTTACAAAAACCAACTTCTACCAATAAGAAAGCCATAACTCACATTAGTCCACTACATTCATTTCAAACCCATTCTAAAGCCAAAGTTAACCCCTTAGGCATTAACACCTTCACCCGACTCACATCAACAATAGAAATTTACAATATAAGTTCACTATTGTCCATTTTAATTTATCAATCAAAATATAATTTAGGCCTTTTTCTTCCATCAACTACAACATGCTAATTTACACTCCAATTAGCCCAAAACAACCATCAATGACAACATAACCATTTTCCAACACCCAACCCTAGGTTCCTTCTCATGATTTCAAACAAATCCAACATTGATATGACTTTTGTGCAATACAAAATTACCACATGTCTATCTATAGACGAAGTATTGATAATGAACAAGGAGAATTCCTTACCTCAAATGGAGAACTCAATTAGAGAAGATGACCCGAAATCAAAGTGCTCCAAATCCCAAATTTCTTGGATCGCAACGAAGCCCTCGACGATCAACACACTTCTTACAAAGGCCCAAGGTGAGGAAAACACTCTAGCTAGATCAATCCTAAGAGAGAAGTTCGGCTTTAGAGTGAGGTGCTCTCCAATGGCTTTTTCGGAAAAGTAAGAGAGAGAAAGGAAATCAAAAACTGAACAAAAAGGTCGGATCTCGGCTTTATATAAAAGTCGCCCCGCTCGATCGTCTTACTCCCCGCTCGAGTGTCACTCACAGATCCCCGCTCAAGCGTCCAATCCCCCGCTCGAGCGGCGGATGCACGCTCCCAGAACTTTTACAGACATGGTGCCCGCTCGAGCGTCAAACTCCCCCGCTCGAGCGTATACCACTGCAGACGAAATACTGGATGGATGATTTCCCCGCTCGAGCGCCAACACCCCCGCTCGAGCGGACAAGCAACAACAGAGTCCCGCTCGAGCGTCAAAAGAGCCGCTCGAGCGGAGGGACCAAAAACTGGGCAAGGATTTCTAGGTTTTAAAACATCGCCAACTTATTCCCAACAAGTCCAACACAACCCAAAACTCTAAGATAAAGAGTAAGGGATAGAAAAGAGGATAAGACAACAACAAATCTACGGAACCAAGTCCGGATTACAGTTCAATAACAACAGGGAATACCGGGATCGCTATACTTAGTGATAACATGCCCCAGAAATGCCACCTCTAGTAGCCAAAATTCACATTTCTTCAGATTTGCATACAGTTTATTTTCCCGGAGGGTTTGAAGAATCAACCGAAGATGATTCTCATGAGCTTCTACAGTCTTCGAATAGATGAGAATATCATCAATAAAGACCACCACACATTCATCCAAATAAGGCTTAAAGACGCGGTTCATTAAATCCATAAAGGCTGCTGGGGCGTTAGTAACTCCAAAGGGCATAACCAGAAATTCATAATGACCATAACGAGTTCGAAAAGCTGTCTTCTCAACATCATCAACCTTAACCCTTAATTGATGGTACCCAGACCGTAGATCGATTTTAGAAAAGACTTGTGCCCCCTGAAGCCGGTCAAATAAATCATCAATCCTTGGCAATGGGTACTTATTCTTGATTGTTACCTTATTAAGTTCCTTGTAATCAATACAAAGCCGGAGTGTTCCATCCTTCTTCTTCACAAACAGAACTGGTGCACCCCACGGAGACACACTCGGACGAATGAATCCCTTGTCTAGTAAATCTTGCAATTGAAGTTTTAATTCCTTCATCTCAACTGGTGACATTCTATACAGGGTCTTAGAAATGGGTTGAGTTCCCGATGCCACTTCGATTTTGAACTCAATTTCTCAGTCTATCAATTGCCCTGGTAACTCTTCTGGGAAGACGTCCGGAAATTCACGAACAACTGGAATTATGTCAGTACCCCCATTCACCATTTGCTCTTTTACAACACTACACAGATACCCCTGACACCCTTTCTGAATTAATCTACAAGCCTTTGCTGCAAAAATCAAATACGGTGGGGAAGTCACCTCTTGTCCCTGAAATATAGATTCTGCTTGACCAGGAGGGTGAAAACTCACTTGCTTAGTCAAACAGTTTATAGTTGCACTATGTTTACTCAACCAGTCCATTCCTAGTACAATATCAAAATACATCATATCGAGAGGTATTAAGTTAGCGTATACCCGAATATCCCCAAGGTGGAGCTCACAAGCAGCATATATAGAAGTACAAATCATAGAATCTCCCAACGGTGAAGGCACACACAACATATAAGATAATGCTTCCTCGGATGTATCTAAATTAGGAGTAAATAGCTTTGACACAAAAGAATGGGTAGAACCGGAATCAAACAATACATAAGCAGAATGACCGTGAACCATAAATGTACCTGACACAACTGTCGCCGCCTTTTGCACATCTCCCGAAACCAATGCAAACACCCTACCTTGTCTCGCGGTGTCCTTGTTGTTAGTAGCTTTGACCAGTGCCTTGGTATTGATAGTTGGTGCAGACCCCGTTACGCTGGTAGCAGTCCTATTGCTATTTTGCTGCTGCTTCCTCTGAGGGCAATCCCTTATCACATGGCCCGTCTTTCCACACTGAAAGCAGGCTCCAGACTTCCGATAACATATCCCACGGTGCCTCTCTCCACACTCCACACATACAGGAATTGAATCTTGATTAGGGGTAGAAACATTTGAAGTCCCTGAATTTTGTTTCTTATTTGGTGGAGTAGTTGCCCCCTTCGACCATTGACTATTTTGCCTTTTCCCCTTCCATTCAGAAATTCAGTTTTGTGCAGCGATATTCCTTTCTGCTATAACAGCCCTCTCCAACACTTCTACATAGGTAAGCAGCTTCAATATATTAACTCGGTCCAGAATAGCACCCTATAATCCCCCTTCAAATTTTCGTGCCTTCTTATAGTCTGTGTCCACCATGTGAGGTGTGAACCGGGCCAACTCGGCAATTGAGCTTCATACTCAGCAACAGTCTTGTTCCCTTGCCTGAGAGTTTCAAATTCAGTCACCTTTTTATCTCGCATACTTTGTGGAAAATACTTATCATAGAATATCTCCAAGAACCTGTCCCATGCCAATCCTTGATGTATAGTTCTCGTAAGCATCCACCATCTCCGCGCCTCATCCTCGAAAGTGAATGCAGCCAATTGCACCTTCTGAGCTTCGGTACAAGGAAAGACTTCAAATAACTTCTCTACTCCCAACACCCATGCTTCAGCTTTCATTGGTTCTATTCCTCCTTTGAAGGACGGCGGTTTCATCTTTTTAAACTCTTTGATATGGGTAATAGTTCAGTCTTCAGCATGGAGATCTTGTACTGTCGGTGGAGGTACCAGTGGTGGTGGCGGTTGTTCTTGTGGCTGTTGCTGCTGTTATTGCCGTAAGGTCTCCGCTATTTCCATAATCATTCTCTCCATTCTATCCAACTGTGCAGTAGTAGCATCTTCCACATCTTCTGTCCTTGTTCTCACCATTGCCTACACAACAAGCATTTATATACAATAAACATATTCAAAATTGTTAGCCATATCAGAGTACTCTTAACGTTGCCATCGATCTTTCATATACTTGCAGGATGTCATGCAAAATGCCTAAAACTTTTCTAGACACCCTAGAGCTCAATGGATCCGTGTGTGAGATAGCAACTCGTGCTCTGATACCACTTGTCACGCCCCCAACCCGCCCCTAAAAGTTTGGGCATGACCTATACGAAAACGGACACATACATAAGCATACATAATATACGGGGCCTTAACGGAAGCATTAGAACTAAAATAATATACCAAACCCCATTGAGCTACCCCTAATATGCCAGGATCACATGCATCAAGAACATTAGAACGAACAGTTACAAGCCAAATTACAGCCAAAAATTATACATAAGCGTCAGTTACATACATACGTATACAGTCCCAACCCTAAGGAAGGGCAATTACAAAAAACATTTAAGTCATGTTCAATAACCTTAATGAGTAGTTAAAATACAAGTTAACATCTAGCGAAGCTTCACAAAAATGAATAATCTCATCTAATGCCCGGACTCAGAAAGGTTGACAAAAAGAATGGACGTCCTGGGTTAGGGCTGACCTCCTAGTTGGTTACTTACAGAAACAGACATATCAAAAGGTGAGCCAAGCTCAGTGAATAGGAATACATAACTAAAGTAATGCCTAACTTGAATCATAGTAAAAGAATACATATAGATTCGTAGCTTGTCAACGCTTATTGATCCACAAATCATGTCTAAAATACTTTGGAAAGAGATGTGGACATAAATATGAACTAAATGCAACTTCCTAAATGATTCTGAAAATGGATCCCCGCTCAAGCGCCCATTTTGCCGCTCGAGCGGACTGTACAATTTAACAAAAATGTTGGGAGGTCGATTTTTACGCTCGAGCGGGAATTCCCCCGCTCGAACGGACAACGAAATGTTTAAAAACTGCTGAGAGGTTAATTTTCACGCTCGAGCGGGACTTACCCCGCTCGAGCGGAACGTGCAATTTCTGAAATTTTAAAATTCTAATTAAAGTTCCGACCTGATATTCAAAGCTTTAAACATGTACTTTCGTATACTAATACAACATTCATATACCGAGTTTGAATCTGTACTTATTCACAACGGTCTTAGAACTTATCTTGGGACATATTGGCTTGAACATAATGTTTTGGCTTAAAGCCCTTGCCTAGTGTGGCACAAACTCTTAATCATGGTGGCACGAAGCCCGTAAACATAGTGGCGCAAGGCCCTTGAATAAATTGGCATGGAGCCCTTGAATCATCTGGCATTAAGCCCTTGTAAATTGGCATTGAGCCCTTGTAAAGTGGCATTGAGCCCTGGAATCATTTGACATTAAGCTCTTGTACATTCTTGTATGAACTCAAGAGGTGTCTCACACGGGTTCTAGCGGTGACTCACATTGTAGCACTTAGTCCCGTGTAGCACTTCGTTTCATATCGTAGTTACTTATACCGTATGGCCAAAGGCCCATAATTTTAAAGAATGGAATCACTTCATCTTGCCCATTTCTTTATATACGCACATCAAAACATGAACATAATTACATATCGTATGTGAATAAGATGCTAATGACAATCATTAGCTATACATATGAAACATATAATGGTACTACTACTCACAGTGGTGTTGAGATGACGTGCTACTTCCTCCCGGAGTGTGTCTTGTACACAATCAAAACTTGCATATTAGTTCTTCTTTTTCCTTGGTAAATTAGGTCCTGATTCGTTACACTTCTAGTGAATTTATAACTATCTTAAGATCATCAAAACATAATCTAAAAATAGTAGAGGGTCGAGCACACAAAACAGAACAAATAATTTTCTTTTTCTCAACTCGAGCGGCCGTGACTCCGCTCGAGCGGTTGTGTCCCTGTTTTGGCAGTTCGAAGTTTAACCAAAAAAAAAAAAAAAAAAGCAATACCAGCACATTTTACATGCAAAACAAGGAGGAATTTATGCAATACATTGACCTAACCTTACTATAACATGAATTATCATCTAAACCACACAAAGTAAACATGTTAGAAGCTTCATCACTTTTGCAATGTCCTTATGTTCATAAAACATAACATCTTGTATATATATACCTTCATGGGGTTAGCATAAAACTAAAGATTGAAGTGTAACTTTCACATAGCACCTAAATTAGGTGACAAAACAACCAATTGATAAGAAACCTCCTTTAATCAATCATAATTCATACATAATACAAACCCTAAGTTGTCAAAACAAGAAATCATCCTCCCTTGAGTCCAAGTGAAGGTTAAATGGGTTGGATGGAGCTTACCTTGATTTAAATCCCACAACTTTCCTCAATTTGGCAATCTCTCTTGTTGAATTTCGTTTCCCCTAATTCTTCGTCTCCACACTCTCTATTTTCTCTCCCAGGAGATGTTGAATGGAGAAGTGCTTAAGTCTTAACTCAATAATACACTTAGAGACATATATAGTCATACATAAAGAAAACACATATACGGGCATATAAGACAAAATCCAATCGTTTAATCATTCCGAAATTGAAATTTCGTGGCCATGCTTAATATTACATAAAAATTATGTTGATCACATATATAAAATCAATTTCAGATAATTAAGCCCCTAAGGCTTCCAATTTCTGATTCAAATTATTCTAAGTGTAACAGATACGATTCTTGGAGAACAGATAGACATCCTTAACTATGGATTTCACTTACATACCCTTAATTTCTCTTGGAATTTTACAATAAACATTTAAAAGCATAAAACAGTAGCTGAAAATATATCAGAAAAATGTACGAGGGTTAGGTTATTACAGCACTCTCAATTCATCAGTAGTCTTGGCCTTATCGGCTTCGGAATTGGCCATAACTCTCTCTGCCGCCGCTTTCATGGCCTCAGACTCGGCCCGGAGAGAGGCCTTTGCTGCCTTTCCCTTCTCGTTTTCCAACTCGGCTGTAAGAAAGCCGAAGCCGATCTGTTCGAAAGCGTCGTGTTGGCGACGGCCAATTTCAGCTATCCTCTCTGCCGCCTACAAAACAAGGGATCATTAAGCTAATATTGAAACTTTTCTTTTGGTTAGCCTTGTGAAATTATAAAAGGACACATACCAATATCGCCGATTGAGTGGCTAATGCGATGGCCAGCAGATCGGCCTCTGCCCTAAAACCTGCTCTGTCAACAGGCAGAGAAATGGAGGACGCCAAGCTCAAGGCCATGGCTGGGTCTCTTATAGCCAATGCAACAGAGGCAACCGACATGTTCTTTATCCTTGGTTGTATTGTAAATGGCACAACCAGGTCAGATTCTTCTATTCGTGGTCGTTTATCAACTAGGTCTTCTGAATAATCGGCTTCGTGCTCGATCGAGCGTTTTTCTCTCCTGTGCTCCGTCACTTGACCCTCCTGTTAATCAACAACAGGTTTCGTTTTGACCACTTCGGTCTCAAACTCCTCAACAGGAACAGGTGGAGGAGTTTCTTCCCTAACGTCGGGTGGAGGGGGTGGAGGTTCGTT